ACGCGCGTGGTGTTCACGAGCAAGAGAGCGCTGCGCATGGTGGGATAGCTCCGTGGATTTTGCGGAGGGCCCGTGCGTAGGCGGCAGCCACGACATGTGCGCGCGCATGCTATCTTCTGCTCTACAGCTCAAGATTCCTTTCTGATAAAGGAACTTCTACTACAAACATCCTCACGATGAAGCGATCCGGTTCCAACCGCGTTGCACGCAAGATTGGCAGCTACGACGACGACGCATCCACCGACAGCGCGAACACCTCGCCGAGCGAAGTACAGAAGCCCACAGGTCAGTCACCAATTGTCGCGATTGCCAGCCTTTCTGACGTTGGGGAAACTCACAGCGAATCTCTCCAGGCCTTGTTGAAAGCTGGCGACTTAGGTGGCTCCGTACTAACTGGCCGTGTAGTCGTCAAGCGGCCAACGATTGGTAAAGCGAAGAAGCGTTCTTCCCTACGAGTGTCTTTTGGCCCAGGCGAAGACGCGAACGATGGCGACGACTCGAGCGATACAGCCGTCGTGACCCCAAAGAAGGCAAACCTCAGTCGCATAGCCCTGGAGAAGAGTGCGCAACTGCGGGCGCGCTCACCCCTCGTGCCTGAAGCCGCTCGCCCTACCGAATACAGCAAAGACTATATAGCAGAGCTGCGAAACTCGACGCCGTCAACACCCCGCGACCTGAATACGTCCGCTGAAGATGAAGAGGAGACGCAAGCCCTAGATATCGCATCGAAATTTGGTCCTGTCACGTCGCTCGAGACGTCATCTGCGATCCCTACAGAAGCCGAGATTCGCGAGAAGAAGGCGCGGAGACGACGTTTGGCGCATGAGGAGAACGCCCTCGACGACGAAGACCGCGCGTGGGCGTCTGACGACCAGGGGGAAGACGAGTTTAGACAGCACAGGAACGAGATTTCTCTTCGGCCAAAAGACAAGTACGGAGAAACGCGTCTCATACACGAAGATGAGGACATAGCCGAAGGTTTCGACGATTTTGTCGAAGATGGCAAGATATCGCTTGGTCGCAAGTCAGAGAAGGAAGCACGACGAAGACGGCGCGCGGAAATGGCAGAACTCATCAACGACGCCGAAGGCGGTTCAGGCGACGACGGGACGGACGACTCAGACGAAGAGAGGAACACGGCTTTCGCCGCAGCTCAAGCCCGCGCAGGACGATACGGCCAGAAGATCGAAGACGAGGAAGATGGCACTAAGACTCCACCGCGTATTACGCCCCTGCCAGACCTAGACGAAGTCCTAGAAGGTCTCACGATCGATATACAGACGAAGCAGCAGAGGAAGAACTTGATCCTGCAGAAACTACAAGACCTGAAGGACGACAAGGTTAGAATTGAGGAGCGCAAGAAGTACCTCCAGGAACAACTGCAGAAGACAGGCGACGAGTATGAGAAGTTGCGCCAGGAGTCAGGGCTTCCAGCGTTACCCGCAAACGGCGTTGAAGGAGGCCGCTTGATCACAGAGAGAGGCTTGGACAGTCTGGGTACTACGCCTTTAACTGGCACTACGCCCGTAGCTGGTAGATCTAGCGACGACTCTGATGATGAGTAGTGTTTGTTAGAATTGGAGTATCTAGCTCTAGCATTTCCATGCTGGGCCAGCCGTGTAGTAATACTATGAACATAGTTCATGAATGTGTATGAACGCTCCCGTAACGCCTCAATTCCGCATTCGTATAATACAAGAGCCTGAAAGCTCGCTGTTGATCGTATCCGTAAACTCCCATCCGTATGCAATATCTCTCTCATGCCCGTGACGGACCCCTCGCATGCTCATTTGTTCTCGTCCAACTCCTTCCACACCTTCTGTATCTTCTCCCTCTTCTCCTTGGCCGCCTCGCGATTCTGCTTCGTCCGCTCGAGTCGCAGGCCGCGCAGGCACATGTTGACTTTGTATTTCGCGTCGGTGCAATTCCCGGTTACTTTCCAGATGAAGCCGCGGTTATGGCATTCTTCTAGCGCTGCGACGACGTCCGCGCAGTCTATTCCGTGGATGTTAGAAGGTGTGCGCTGTGGGCTGCGTGGAGGGGGAGGGGTGGCGCACTCTTTTGGACTTCTTCGGTGTGGAGATGGGGATGCATTGTGGGTTTGCGCGAAGTGTAGTGTTTGCGAGGGTAGACGGTGCGAAGTTTGGGAGACTCGGAGGAGAGGGTGATGGTGCTGGGCTCGATCGGACGGGTACTTGGAGATGTTGAAGTTGCCGACGAATCGAATCGTTGAAGATCTCGTGAACTGCGTCCGAGCGCGCGCCTTCACTCGGAGCCACTTTGTGTCGAACGCGTGAAGACTCGCGAGGCTTTTTAGAAATTACACGGCCACTTCCATTCTCTGTTCTCTATCCAAAATCAGCGAGCATCCGACTTCGTACCTAGATAGTACGCATAGAATCAAGAATCTTCTCTCCCCCGAGTTCCCCGCAACCACCGCCGACTCCTCATCACCGGGCACACGTCAAAAAGTCATATCGTCAGTATGGCATCCCAGCAGCAGCTGAAGAAGCAACAAGGTCAGTGGTTATTTTGATTGATAATTTTGCCCTCGCTGAGCCGAAACAGAGCTACAGACGACATATCAAAACTACAAGGTAAGAACGGTTCACAAAGGCGTGAATGCTCAACTGACCTTTTCGAAGAATACACTCCAAACTATTGCCTCAAAGATTGGCGACATCGAGCAAGAGACAGAAGAGCACAAGTAAGTCGCATAGCACCATCACCACGAAGCCACACCCGGCGATCGTTCAAACCTTCCCACACCGCTCGTCCCTTGCATCAGCCTTGCATTGCTCCATGACTTGATAGTTGAAATATCTTACACCGCTTCATGTTCCCATTACAACATAATCAATACTGACAGATACCAGACTCGTATTGGAGACGTTGCAACCATTGTCAGGAGACCGGAAATGCTTCCGTATGATCAACGGTGTCTTGACCGAGCGAACGGTCAAGGACGTTGTGCCGATCCTGCAGACCAACTCGGATGGTCTTAAGCAGGCTCTGGAAGAGCTAGTCAAGCAGTACAAGTTGAAGCAAGATGAGATGGAGAAGTGGAAGGTACGTCATCAGTTGCACTTGGATTCCACATAGCGTTGGCCCAGGCTTCTATTTCGATATCAAGTAACTAACTTCCCTTACAGAAGAAGAACAACGTCCAAGTTGTCCAACAGCCAGGGCAGTAGAAGATACCAGTGATGCAGCAACCCTTTGACAGGATGGGCACACGGCATATGCTGGGAGCCACATGAGATGACGCAGACGAGTACGGCAGCGATATCTCCGGTGACTGGAATTGGGGTAGATAGATCGGGACCCTGGCAAAGGGTTCTGCGTGTTCCGAGACGGAGTATACAGACGTAATAGGGTCTCTCCGGTTTCCGATGTTTGCACAGCAGGCCAGGCCACGACAGAACAGCACAGCCTCTTGATGACAACGAAAGGCTTGCCAGTAAATGAGTCCTATATCGATCGTGTACTATACCTCCCACAAATTACGAGAATCTTGCAATGTCACGATTGAACAAGCCACGACAGACCCGGGTCGCTGGGCTTTCAGCTACCATCCTACCAATGATGCCGCACATGCAGCCTGAAAGACCCCACAAGCTCGCAACTACGTATGTGTTTACATGAAGTGACTGATTTAGGACTGCACCGTTGTCCCGGCACGTGCTCCCAACCCCAGGGGTCTCTGCAAGATGCGTTGTCCAGTCGGCTCCCACTTAAAGCAACGCACTGATCTGCACCATCTCACCCATGAAAACGGACACGTAGCTCATAGGCTACCAGCAAAGTCTTCACAGAGAATGACGAACGGTCCGGGGGTCGAGTCGTTAGTGGCTGACTTGAACGTCATCTCGTGTTGGCTTAGTGAAGCTGGAGCAAGGCTGTATGCAACATGCGCGAGAGCCCAACGAACAGCGAAGACTACTGACGTCGACGACGGCCTGGGATGATGCTAGCAGAGGCTTGGACAACACACGTTCTTGCTGAATGTCATCCGTGGCTGCAGTGGTGAAGACGCGGCAGAGATATGGACGTGGGGTGGTGTTGGTAGGGCTGCCGAATGAGCTGCTGATGCGACTCGCATACAGGATCGCCAGCTAGCTCGAGGAGTCTGCAGTAGTAGGCCAGGTTCCGAACAGACGGTATGCCGGTGCTATGACCGGTCCGAATATCGAAGGACATGCACGGTATTGTAGAAAGCTGCGCGTTGGAAAGCGAATGCGGCGCAATGTTGCTAGGCATGATGTGAGAGGGGAGCTGGTTCGGCACGGGCCGGGATTGGTGCGGGCGGCCGAATTTCTCTTCGTTCTCACCATTCGATTCGCCCATCGAGGTAAATCCCCAATCCACCATCTCTCCGCGCACCAACGCTATCGCGCGTCCAAGCTCCATCTTCCCCCATCTTCTCCTCGCGCTCCTATTGGCAGGCGCGTCGCCAACTGCTCCAACGTCGCGACGTCAAGTCTCGATTGACAACTGCCACGCCTAACTGCGCCCGAATAACGCCCTGATTCAAGCCGGTCCGCCTGCATATCGTCCCACCGCTACTCGCAAGACACGGTCTGTGAATCGCCAGTGTCGCACGCAGTATCGTGCCCGCCGCCCGTAGCACACCAACTCCGCCGTGTGTCGCGACTGCCCCGATCGCGGTCGCGCCTGCCACTATCGCAAAGCGCCCCTGCCAGCTCCATCGTGGGTGCGACGCCAGCATCGCAGGTAGCCCCGGGCGTCACCACGAGCCGTAGTTCACTCGACGCTCCCTTGCGCCGTGCTCTCCGCTGTCGCAGCTCCCCACGTACGTTAGCTGCATCCCAAGCTGGCCGCTGCATGCCACTAACCGCTTCCTTCGCCAGGCCTCTCGTTACACCACTGACCGCAGGTTGCATACTCGGCCGCCAAGTTGTCCCGTCGTTTCTCCCAGTGACGTGGTCGCCAACGAAATAGTCGCCAGCGCATACGCTTCCGAGCAGGCAACCGATAATATGTCGGCCTCTCCCCCAAAGCAGGAGGGTGTGGAACCAGTCCAGTCGCCTGACGAAGAACAGCCCATGGACAGGAACACAGAGGAGAACACAGCTCAGATAGGTTACGAATTCGAGGTCAAGGAGCAAGACCGATGGCTTCCAATCGCCAATGGTACGTCTATTTCCCTTGCTGCCTCCCGCTGTTTTGATTTGCGCACCGTTTCGCTCCCATCTGCACGTCGACGAATTGCTCCAACGGGCGTCTCTGGATGCCGACAGTTCCTCGACTCGCGCGTCTCTGCGTCGAATCACCGCAACTCGGCAGCCACTCAGGTCTGCCGTGTGCCTGGAAAACGGCCGGCGTGCAGCCTGCGAAATGTCGTCCTCTTCTCCACACTCGTCCCTTTCCCCGCCCCTTTCGACGCCAAAGAGCACAAACGCGAATAGCAGCACGGCTTCGGATGCTAACATACGTAACTTTGCTCCAGTCGCGCGAATCATGAAGATGGCGCTGCCCGAAAACGCCAAGATCGCCAAAGAGGCGAAAGAATGCATGCAGGAGTGCGTGAGCGAGTTCATCTCCTTCATCACCAGCGAGGGTATGTCTCACTCCAGCCCTGTCCGAGACCGCCACTGACTCTGCTGCCAGCCTCCGAAAAGTGCCAACAGGAGAAGCGCAAAACCGTCAATGGCGAGGACATCCTCTTCGCCATGACGTCGCTCGGTTTCGAGAACTACTCGGAAGCCCTCAAGATCTACCTGTCCAGGTATCGCGAAGTAAGCTGCCAACTTTTCCTATACCCCCTTTGTCCTTCTTTTGTTGCCTACTATTTGGCCGAAACGTTTATCTGAACTATTGGTATTGATTGGTGGTACGAGACCCTCCTCGCAAATCAGAACAAACCACCCACTGGGCAGTTCGGTTCCGCAGGGCCCGGTGGGCCCGGTGCAGGTCCCGAGAATCAGCAACATGTACTGAGCGGCGACTCCGAAATGACCGAAGACGGCACGGCCTTTGGCTACACGGTCCACAACGGGAACGGAAACGAGTACTAGGCGTCTCAGGCTCCGGCGATCAGCGAGGAACCAGAAGAGGAGGCAGACGATTGCGAGAAGCAGAAGCAGTCGTATATCAACCCGATCGCCGGAAAGGAAATTCTCCCGAAGGAGGAGAAGGAGTGATGAAGTTAAGGACACCTTCGCTATGGTCAGATTGTAACAAGTGCGCAACTGTCGCTCACAGTCGGTGGATCATGTTTGAGGTTATGAGGATTGGATCGGAGGTACACGAATACTCTGATAGGTTACGACTGGCTGGAGTAGGTCAGGACACATATGGGCAACCACGATACCTTTTCGCTTTGCCAGATGGCTGGTCTAGATATTTCTTCTTGCTCACACGAGCTTTACAACATTCGTTATATCCTTTTGATCAAATATCATCTACTTCACGACAGATCGAAGTGTATGTCTTCTTATTGACGTGACATTGATGCTTGATATGCACTTCTAATGGCTGTTCGCAGCTGCGGCCTGTCTCCGAGCAATGAGTTGGCTCAAAGGTACATCATCGTCCTGTTCATCGTAGAACTCCACATCTTCATCCACCCCAAAATCCTTCAACCGTTCGCCCTCCGAGTTTCGCCAAGCTGCCTCACCTTCCCGCTCTTTACCATTCATTCTTCTGTCACCTTCCTCCTCTTCTTCCTCCACATCATCACTAGCATCATCCCCATACGCATAGTCTTCTTCATCCCTGCTCATCTCCCCATCCATCTCATCTTCCATCGCATCCCTCTCCACAGCCCTAGCATACGGTCTCCGCCTCCTCACAGCATCCTCCGCCTGCCTCATCTTGAACGCGGCCACCGTATCCTCAGCATTCAAATCGGACTCCGCAAACCGGAACGCATCCGCATTCACCGCCGTCGCATTCCTCCTATACGCCCGATCTGGATCCGGAGGCGGCCAAACCGTGCCCTCGTCCTCAAAGCCATTCGTCTCAAAAGATAGTCCACTGCTTAAACTAGGTGTCGGAGCCAGGGGATTGAACCACTGCAGCGGGTTCCTCGAATCCATGCCCTGCACGATATTCGACCAGATACCGATATCATACGGGAACTCCTGTTTCTTGATGCGTATCTTGGTTCCGTCGGGACTAGGTAGATAGCCGCCATATTGGCGCGCACGGCGTAGAAGCGTTCTGTGTCGTTCGATTTCCCAGCCTTCGATCGTGGTTTGGTTGATAGCCAGGCACCAGAGGTTTCTCAGCAGGAGGACGCCGAGGATGAAGAGGGTGATTGAGTTTGTCAGAAGGACGGCGAAGAGGTGGCCTAGTTGGAAGGGCGTGGGGCCGAGGTAGGAGGGCATGTCTAGATTGGACCAGAGGTGCGAGAGGCGGATGAAGAGGAAGTATTGGAGGAGGGAGAGGCCGAAGGTGGTGTAGAGGAGGAAGCGCAGGAAGTGCGGGAAGGTGGTGTGGCTGACGCAGTTGTTGGTCCAGGGGCAGTGGTGGTCCATTTTGGGAATGCATCTTTGACACTCTTTACAGTGGTGGGCTCTCGGTGGCTTCGCGGCGTCGCACTTCCGACACCATTTCCGGCTCTTCCCTGCGATATCCAGACCTGTCTCTTTGCCAGATGTATCGCCATGTTCGTCTCCCTTTTCAGCACCTAGCTCTTTCTTCACAGTCCAGTCCTTGGGTATGGTCCCTGCATCAACGAAAACACTCTGCGTATACGTAATCCATATCAAGACCAAAGTCACATTCGACACGATGAGTTCATTCTTCGTAAGCGGCGCGGGTTCCAACTGCGTCAACAGCCATTGCGAGGGATAGCCGAGGAAGAAAATGAGGACGTAGACAGCTGGGACTGCACATTGATTGATTTCCATCATGCGAGGGACATTGGCGTGAAGTCGTTGGTGTGATGAACGTTGGCAGAAAGGCAGGATGACGTTGCGGATGTGGAAGGGAGGTTTCGCGTCGACTAGGGTGGTTGGCGGATGTGGTGGATCACGAAGACACGTGATTGGACGATGATGTAAAAGCAACGGGCTCACACCTTTCATTCGTCCGTCGTCATCCTCTATCACCAACACTGTCGCGCCTGTCATCTCCATTCCCGCAGAGCTTTCGCAAGCTCTGTCACTTGTGCGAATGCCATGGCGCTCTCAACATGGCCGTTCTTCCTCCTCATACCCACTTTCGTTCTAGTACACCTGTTCGTCTCGCCGTACACCAAAGTCGAAGAGTCGTTCAATGTCCAGGCTATACATGATATTCTCGTTCATGGGATACCTATAGAGAATGCAGATCAGTTCTTGACGGCGAATTACGATCATGTTAGTTTTCCGGGGAGCGTGCCGAGGACGTTTGCGGGCGCGTTGGTTTTGAGTGGGTTGAGTAGGCCTGTGGTTGGGTTGTTGGGGGATATGGCGCAGGTGCAATTGCTCGGTGAGTAGACCCAGGGGCATCGCGTGGAAGGTAGGAAGGCTGATTGTGGGGATAGTGAGAGGAGTACTTGGACTGCTTAATGCGGCTTCGCTTGTTGCGTTTGGGAGGAGCGTGCAAAAGTCTTTTGGTACTAGTGCTGGGGTTTGGTATGCGCTTTTTCAAGCCAGCCAGTTCCATGCTATTTACTATGCTTCGAGGACGCTGCCTAATATGTTCGCCTTCGTTTTCAGTAAGTCATACGACTTGATTCGTACATCTATTGGCTTATATCAACTTAGGCAATTTGGCCTTGCGAAGCTTGTTGCTCGCATACACTGTACCATGGAGCACCTCCAACATCTCAGGATACTACCGGCTGTGCTTATATCTGCTCACGATTGCCGGTGTAGTCTTCCGCTCGGAGCTAGCGATCTTGGTGGGAACAATCACCATCTACTTGTTCATCACTCGGAGGACATCCATCACAAGCGTCATCATCCCAGCTGGACTTGGTGGCCTCGTCATTGGCCTACTCTGCACTGTACCTCTGGACTCGTTCTTATGGCAATCTTTCCCGCTATGGCCTGAGTGGACGGGATTCTACTACAACACTATACAAGGGCATTCAGCTGACTGGGGTGTCTCGCCATGGCATTACTACTTTGCAAATGCCTTGCCACGATTACTGCTGAACCCCGCAACCTATTTGCTTTGCATACCGGTTGCGGTCATTAACACATCGACATCTAGACGAAGCCTGGATGTTCTTGTTCCACTGCTTAGCTTTGTGGGGTTGTACAGCTTCCTTCCGCACAAGGAATGGCGCTTCATCCTCTACGTGATTCCAGGTTTGACTGCCGTGGCTGCCGATGGAGCAGCCTGGATCTGGAACCGCAGAACAAAGTCGGTCGTATACGCTACTCTAAGTTTAGCTTTACTAGGATCAGTCCTGGTATCCTTCATTGCATCCACTGCGATTCTGGGTATCTCCAGTCTCAACTATCCCGGAGGCGAGGCCCTTCACACGCTACACAAGGAGATGGAGCACCCGACTAAAAATCACTTCAACGTATACTTCGATAACCTTGCTTGTCAGACAGGCGTCACGCGATTCCTCGAGAGCCACAGAGGACCGCAGACAGTGCTCGATGTCCTTGAAGCACAGGACACTTTGAACAGCAGAACATGGACATACGACAAGACTGAAGACCCAAACGTCCTGTTGGACCCAATGTTTTGGATCAAGTTCGACTATGTTCTTGCCGAGAGCCCGGAGAAGGTTATAGGTAGCTGGGAAGTGGTTCATACTGTGTATGGATTTGGCGGAGTCAGGCTTCTGAAACCGGGAGAAGAAAGTGGCTTGCTAGTCGAGCACTCGGATAGGGCCACTTCGCAAGATAGGTGGGCGTCGAAGATTGCAGCAACATGGCATGGGCTGGAAGGGTTGCTGAGGAATAGCCTGTTGAGAGGTTACTGGGCTGAGATACGGATGGAGCCGAAGATTCGTATCCTGCAGAACCAGATGAAGTAGTTGTGGGAAGTAATGAGCAGCCACGACCAAATATCTAATAACTCAGTCGACCTTCCCTTGGATGAGGTGGCTGTTTGGTGAAAGTCCGCGGGCGTCACTCGCGTTGAAGGACCCTTGCGCTTCGCATACCCCGCCACGCGGGCTTTCTGCCCCACCAAGCTCTCTCTTCCCAAGCATCGCGTCGACACCCAGTCTCACCACTCAACGCACCACTCTTTGTGACCTCAAGGTACCTGAGAGTCTGAAGCATATCGCACTGCACAAAATGTCAGCCGACGCGTTACCGAAGCCCGTCGTCTACTGCGGAGGCAAGCATTCCCACACTCCATTGCGACTAGGGCTAACAAGAAGCAGTATGCAGTCTACCACCTGAAGTAGGTATGACACCGAGACGCGTTGTAAGGGAAATCGCGACTGACAAGACCAACCCATAGTACTGCGAGTTTGGCGGCACAACGAAGAAGTGTGAGGAATGGCTAGAAGAGGCGCATCCAGATCTGCACGCGAAGCTGTACTCAGCAGGTACGTAGAGTCAACCATATTGGGAAGCCTATGGCGCGCCATTGCGATATACAAAATACGGTCTACTGACCCCTCTCCAGAAGCGCTACAGCAAAACATGGCCTCCCTCTCCGTCGACGCCCAAAAACGCGCCGAAAAGGACGCCCAGAAGAAAGCCGCCAAAGCCGCAACCGCCGAAGCACGAGCAGCCGAGACGCGCGCGTCGTCCAAGATCCTCATCAAGCGCATCGAGCGCAACAAGCGGAAATACGTCACCGCCGTACAGGGTCTAGAAGCGTTTGGTCTCGACATCAAGAAGGTGGCCAAGGACTTTGGCAAGAAGTTCGCGACGGGGTCAAGTGTCACCAAGATCCCGGGTGGCGGCGAGGAGATTACGGTGCAGGGTGATTTGAGCGAGGATATCTTGGAGTTCTTGGTGGACAAGTACGATGAGGTGCCGGAGGATAACTGCGAGTTGATAGAGGATAAGAAGAAGAAGAAGGCTGAGGGGGGTTGAATCGTTTGACGGGGTGATCGGTGTCAGGAGATGAAGTGTATATCAGCATAAGCATAGGAGTTGTTTGCTGGCGCGTGTAGGCGCAAGATAGAAGATGAGGAACTCATGGCTGGAGGCCAGTCCACTGTAGAGGGCGTAGCTTCGTGTTTATCTGCATCTATACCTTCGTTGCAACATAGCAGTGCATATGCCCAGATGATAGGGCTATCGACGCGTCTCTTGTGCTGCAATACCCGGGATGATAAAACATGCGTTGTCCATTGTACACCTTCGACATGTATCATACAGCTGCAAATGTAGTATCGCGATAATAAAACGAGTTCAGTTATCCTCGAAGCAAATTATGATACCCATTTAGCATTCGAAGGATACTAGTTGCGGATTACGCGTATGGGATGTGGAAGGGTCATGATGAATGGTCATGGCACGTGCGTGCTTAGCTGCCTGTCGGGAGCTCTATCATTTTTCTCGGGTCGTTGCCTCCAGCGCTCTCACTATATAACCAACCCTAGGGCGCGCCCACAGCCCGACCTATATCAATCGCACGGCCTTTTCCTTTTCTTCATTTTAGAGGACACGGCGACACAATAATTCGCCGCACACAGTCCTTAACTTGCGCGCCGCCGACTAGAGAAGGCGATCCCAAAAGCGCAAGCCGCGCAAACCCACGATACCCACCGCGACCATGTCGAACGACCAGAAGAACCTCGGGCAGTACAAGTATGCGGCCATGTCAAATTTGGTCTTGCAGGCCGACAGACGTTTCACACACCGCGGGAAGGATGAGCACACTGGCGACCCCGAGTCGCTGGCAGGTCGCATCAACATTAGAGACATGGGCGGACGCACAGCGCGTGACAGCGCAAATGCGCAGGCGACAAAGAAGCTCAAGGGACCTGGCGTTGAGCGCGGAAACTTGAATGAGGGTGGCGATGTTCTTGAGAGAGAGCAGCGCAAGAGGAAACGGGACGATGGCACCAGCGCTTTTGGAGCCACTGCGACAGCCGATTTCAATATCGAAGGCCTCACATACAAGCCGCGGACTCCTGCGACGCGCCAGACTTTCGACCTCATCACAACCCTCGTGAGCAGATCTCTCGGCGATGTCGATCCTGCGACTACGCGAAGTGCGGCCGATGCGGTCCTCGAATACCTCAAGGATGACACCATGAAGGACTTCGACAAGAAGAAGGAAGTGGACGATCTTCTTGGTACTTCCATGGGCGGAAAGGAATTCAACGAGCTGATGAACCTGTCCAAGAAGATCACCGACTACGACGCGCAAGACGACGAGGAAGGTGACGAAGAGATGGCAGACGGCGACGGCGCTGACACGGGCGACAACCAAGGTGTAGCCGTCGTATTCGATGACGAAGAGGAGGATGAAGACGGGCCTCAGACGTTCGAAGTGCGAGACGCCGATTCCTCGGACGAAGAAGACGAAGCAGAGGCGCCCATAGAGCAGATCGGCGAGGACGAAGACCAGAAGGGTGGAGGTTTCGCGGATACCGAAGAGACGATAATACAGGGCGACACGGCCACCGCAGACCGCACAAACGGCGCAGACCAACTTATACCCGCACACGAGATCGACGCCTACTGGCTGCAACGGCAGATTGGGCAAATATACGAGGATGCCCATATCCAGCAGGAGAAGACACAGGAAGCGCTCAAGCATCTCGCAGGAGTCTCGGAAGATGGCGAAGAGAAGGAGCTCCGTGAGATTGAGAACGACCTGATGGATCTCTTCGACTACGAACACCACGAGCTGGTTGCGAAACTCGTACTCAACCGCGATAGGGTCGTGTGGGTTACGAGGTGGCGAAGGGCTGCTGAAGACAACGATGAGCGAACAGCTGTCGAGCGGGAGATGAGAGCTGCCGGTCAGCAACGGATTCTGCAAGAGCTGCGCGCAAGAGAGACTGGCATCAAGGCTGAAGATGGCGCTGACGCTGGCACTAATAAGATGAAGTTCAACCTCAAAGATATCAGCCTTCCAGATGCGCCGAACGACGTGGAGATGGCCGATGCGAAACCGGAGGGTATCGTGGGCGGTCTGCAACCATCGAGCCGAATGGTAAATCTGGACAACATTGTGTTCGACCAGGGCAACCATCTCATGACTAATGCAAGCGTCAAGCTGCCTCAAGGCTCGACGCGCCGTCAATTCAAGGGCTACGAGGAGATCCACGTCCCTGCGCCGAAAGCGAAGCGCGACCCCAACGAGCCAGCACTGATGCCAACCTCCGAGCTACCGGATTGGGCACGTCCAGGTTTCGGTAACTCAAAGTCGCTCAACCGTATCCAAACGAAGTGCTTCCCGACAGCGTTCAACGACGACGGCAACATGTTGATTTGTGCACCCACAGGTTCTGGAAAGACCAATGTAGCCATGCTGACAATGCTTCGCGAGATCGGCAAGCACCGAAACCCCACGACTGGAGAGATTGCGCTTGACAACTTCAAGATCATCTACATCGCCCCACTCAAGGCTCTTGTGGCTGAGCAAGTCGGTAACTTCGGCAAGCGTCTGGAGCCATACGGCATCAAGGTCTCTGAACTTACCGGTGATCGCCAGCTCACCAAGCAGCAAATCGCGGAAACTCAGATCATCGTCACCACCCCTGAGAAGTACGATGTCATCACCCGCAAGGCTACTGATACCAGCTACATCAACCTCGTTCGCCTCATCTGTATTGATGAGATTCATCTTCTTCACGACGACCGTGGTCCGGTCATCGAGAGTATCGTCAGCAGAACTCTGCGACGCAGCGAGCAGACTGGTGATCATGTGCGCATTGTCGGATTGAGTGCCACTCTTCCCAACTACCGCGACGTTGCGAGCTTCCTCCGCATTGACCCAGACAAGGGTCTCTTCCACTTTGACGCTACTTTCCGACCGTGTCCGTTGAAGCAGGAGTTCATTGGTGTTACAGACAAGAAGGCCATCAAACAACTCAAGACGATGAACGACGTTTGCTATACCAAGGTTTTGGAACAGGTTGGCGAACATCGCAATCAGATGCTCATCTTCGTGCACTCCCGAAAGGAAACCGCCAAGACTGCGAAGTACATTCGTGACAAAGCACTCGAGGAAGAGTCAATAGGCAAGATTCTTCGGTCAGATGCTGCCAGTCGGGAGATCTTGAGAGAAGAATCTGAGTCAGTTCAAAACGCGGACCTAAAGGACGTCATGCCTTATGGTTTCGGTATCCATCACGCTGGTATGTCGCGAGCTGATCGTACTTCCGTGGAGGATCTGTTCGCCGATGGCTCTATCCAAGTCCTTGTGTGCACAGCAACACTGGCTTGGGGTGTCAACTTGCCCGCGCATACCGTCATTATCAAGGGAACGCAGATCTACTCCCCCGAAAAGGGTAGCTGGGTCGAACTTAGTCCTCAGGATGTCCTGCAGATATTGGGTCGTGCCGGTCGACCTCAATACGATACTTACGGAGAGGGTATCATCATCACCACACAGTCGGAGATTCAGTACTACCTATCCCTGCTCAACCAACAGTTGCCTATCGAGTCGCAGCTCATCAGCAAGCTTGCAGATAACCTCAACGCTGAGATTGTTCTGGGTAACGTGCGCAACAGGGACGAAGCGGTGGACTGGCTCGGCTACACGTACCTCTTTGTCCGAATGCTCCGTTCACCTGCTCTCTACCGGGTTGGACCAGAGTACGAGAATGATACTGTGCTCGAGCAAAGACGTGTGGACCTTGTTCACGCCGCTGCACATGTCCTGGAGAAATGCAGTCTTGTCAAGTATGACAGGAAATCTGGTGCGCTCAACCCAACCGAGCTTGGAAGAATCGCCTCCCACTACTACATCACCCACAACTCCATGGCGACGTACAACATGCATATCCAACCCGGTATCAGCGCTATCGAGCTTTTCCGCGTCTTTGCACTCAGTGAGGAGTTCAAGTACATCCCGGTCCGTCAAGATGAGAAGCTTGAGCTTGCGAAGCTACTAGGAAAGGTCCCGATTCCAGTCAAGGAGAGCTTCGAGGAAGCCCAAGCCAAGATCAATGTCCTGCTCCAAGCTTATATCTCTCGCCTTAAACTGGAAGGATTGGCGCTGATGGCTGACCTGGTCTACGTTACGCAATCCGCTGGACGTATTCTCCGCGCCATCTTTGAGATCTGTCTCAAGAAGGGTTGGTCGCAAGTCGCTAAGCTGGCTCTCGACATGTGCAAGATGGCTGAGAAGCGTATGTGGCCAACTATGACCCCTCTGCGCCAATTCCCCACGTGCCCCCGCGACATTGTGCAAAAGGCTGAGCGAATCGACGTCAGCTGGTCGAGCTACTTCGGCCTCGACCCGCCAAGCATGGGTGAGCTGTTGGGTATGCCCAAGGCTGGCAAACTTGTCTGTGGTCTGGTAGAGAAGTTCCCGCGCCTCCAGATCGAAGCGACACCCAGGCCAGTTACAAGGTCACTACTCCGTCTGGAGCTGACAATACGACCTGACTTCGTTTGGGACACAGAGCTGCACGGAGCCTCAGAGGCATTCTGGATCTTGGTCGAGGACTGTGACGGTGAGCAGGTGTTGTTCCACGACACCTTCATCCTCCGAAGGGACTACTCCGATGGCGACGCCAACGAACATCTGCTGGAGATGACTGTGCCCATCGATGAGCCCATGCCACCCAACTACTTCATCACGGTTCTTTCCGACCGATGGATGGCATCTGAGACCAAGCTCGCTGTCTCTTTCCAAAAGCTTATTCTGCCAGCGAAATTCCCTGCCCACACTCCCGTTCTGGATCTGCAACCTCTGCCTGTTTCTGCCCTGAAGAGGAAGGAATACATGGGCTTGTACGAAAACATCGGTCGCTTCAACAAGGTCCAAACACAGACTTTCAACACCTTGTACACCACAGATGACAATGCTCTCATTGGCGCATCGGCAGGCATTGGCAAGACCATCTGCGCCGAGTTTGCCATTTTGCGACACTGGGCTACCAACAACGAAGGCCGCATTGTCTACC